GAATTGAGGCAGTTCTGAAGGCAAAAGGGGGTCCAACACGTTACTTGCGTAGTGTACCTAATAAAGTGGCCGGTGAGTGTATATATACAATAACTCTGACCAACATTTGCTGTTGAATGATTGGGTCTCAGCACCGAGTTTCAGAGCCACACATTTATCCTAAAGTTGCTCTAGTAGAAACTAGCAGAAAGCAAGCTTTGTTTTTTTCTACATATGTATTCATTTAATTTAAAAACAAAACAAATTCATAGACAGAAAAATGAAAGGTAGCAGAAAGAAGAAAAAAATCTTATATCTACCCCTTGATCACAGAACACTGATATTGTTGACTTTTATGCAAATGTGTTTGTAAAAAGAACATTAACAGAACTATTTATGATGAGAACATATGTTTCACATCAAAATACATACAAAATAGAAAAAAAACCTCAGATCTGACTGCTCAGCAGCTGTTGTACTGTGCTGCAGTATTTGGAAATCATTTAGCTCTGTCTTATCATAGAGTGACTTTAAACTGTACATAAGAGATACTCTATGTTTATACCTGATGTAGAATCCTCTCTTTGGGTTACTCCTTAACGTTGTAGTCCCAGATCCCATGCTGCTGTTCATCAGCTGTTCCCTCAAATCATGGATTTTAGCCTCAAAGCGGCTGTACTCTGGAACAGAAAAACAAACCGGATGAAATCATCTCTTTTAAATTATCAGATGCTGCAAATTTGACTAGAAAGCTCTAAGATTTCTTGTCAGCATGTTATTAAAGTTTGTCATTTAGGTCAAAATAACAAAGCAACATGGTTAAGTTTTAGTTTTACCTTCGGGTCTGTACTGAGCAATGATGGTTACAGTCTGACCGGCGTTCTTCAGCGCCGCGGCGGCCTGTTCATGTGTGGCCATACGCAGATCCACGCCATTAACCTGACAAATACACACACAGCAGGAGTGTTTACAACCGCGCTGCATTAAAATGCGCAACAGTGCGTGTGTGAAATTGATGCTGATGAAAATGTCATTACGCTGAGGATCTGATCGCCCTTGTGAAGCTCTCCGCTGAGATCAGCCGGCCCTCCTGCCAGGATGAAGGAGATAAAGATTCCCTCTCCATCTTCTCCTCCAACGATGTTGAAGCCCAGGCCTGTAGAGCCTCGGTGGATCAAAACGCGCCGAGGCTCCCTGAAACATTCAACAGGAAATTGGAGTCCTTGCTATCTATAACGCAATCGTTGTTCATAAAAGCTGACAATAAGGCAGGAGGGATGTGTGGCTCGAGGATCACCTAGGGACATCGTCGTCTCCCATCAAGCCGTGCAGAACAGGAGAAAACCGACTCGGTGAGGTTGGAGTGAGGGCTTGTGGATAATCGGATCCTAGGAAGTTGGGGTGGCTGAGATCAGTATCCATGTGGGAATATGCTGGGAAAACAGACAAGAAACAAAAAAAAAAAAGATATCAATCCTGAGCAATCCTGTGCATGAAATGTAAAATCCTAATTCTGAACTATTAATATTTGTTTACACTTTAAATTGCTTTTGAAGTATTAATATTTAACCAAAGTGATTCAAAAACAAACCAATCAGATTATAAAGTTTCTCAGTTTTGTGATGAATTTTGTTGTTGGTGACTATAAATTAGAACTCAACTGCTGTGAAACACACACACACACACAAAAAAGAGATTATAGCTTCATTGTTTATTAACGTTAGTGACAATTAAAACCTGAATAATGACAGATTGTACATACACTTAATAAAAGGTGCACAGGGCGAGATCAAACAAACCAGCCAATAATGACCAATTAGGGATGGCTTTACCATCCAACTCTGTAAGCAGAATAAATAAAGCAGAGGAGGCTTTAAAGAGAAGAATCTAAACTGTTTTTGACTCTGGTTTAACCTGTAATCACAAACTTTGCTTAAACAATTAGAAATTATTTTGTAGCCTCACTAAAATCTTAAATGAAATGCTACGTTATGTGCCTATGCACCTTAAGAACCAAGTTTTCAGTCTTTCATTTACTCTGGATGACCTTAACGTGGCTTGCAGTACTAATGCAAGTAATGTAATGTCCTTTAACTTCCACATAACATGTTACTAGGGCGTCGTCCACCTGTGCAGGATGGCTAAAGTTAGAAACATCTTGTCCCAAAATGAAGCAGAAAAACTGGTCCATGCATTCATCACTTCAAGGCTGGACTACTGCAACTCCTCTTTAGGATGCCTGAAAAACTTGACAAAGTTTTTAGCTTATCCAAAATGCTGCTGCTAGAGTTCTGATTAAACATCATATTTCTCTGATTTTAGTTTCTCTCCATGACTTTTCTTTCCATCTTTCAGTCATGAATCGAAATCAAAACTCTTTTTGGCTACATTTGGTGACAAAATGGCGAGGGGTAAGCTAAAAAACACAGAGATGGACTCACTGCTGGTGAGGTCTGGTGGGTTGTAAGAGTTGGTCAGAAACAGGTTGTTTGGCTTGGCCACCCTGAGGTACACCACCTCGCCTGTGTTCTTCAGCGCTCCCACTGCATCCTCGTGCATCACGTCCTCCAGACACACGTTGTTCACCTGGTTGTTTTACACCAAGCAGAGAGACACGACCAGGATTAGAAAGCCAAGGCACGAGGCGGTAGCTCTACCAGAAGAAGAAACAGAGACTTTCAGCAGTAAACCGCCAGACATAAAAGTAAAACTTCATTGTTGAAATCAAAGGTAGAATATGATGGTAATTGTATTTTTTAGAGTACTAACTTAATTTTGAGAGATGATAGTTGATAGTTAGGTTTGAAATGTTCTCATCTGCAATGAGAACGTGAACTGCTAACATTTTATTTGTGTCCACCAGTCCTCTTTACACGTTTAATCCTGTTCAGGCACAGGGAAGCTGGTCCATTTCTCCAGCTATCATTGGTTGGGGTTGGGTGTCATTCAATGACAAACAATCATTCATGCTCACACCAAYATCTAGAGTGTTCTAGTCCTTCAGTGTGATACTAAACAGTGAGATCTCACTTGTTCAGTCATTAAASGGCTTCTTTGCCATGACTAGACTTCCAGTACCTGAGCCGTTCAGGTTCAGTAGAGATTCACTCCAATGTGTAGAATGGACCACGGGCTTTAAGAATCTAATTAAAACCAATTGTTCAGATTTGTTTGTGCTTGAAACATTACATTAGTGGAGTAGCACTGTCTTATAAGGAGCATCCTATCGAAGTGATGAGAACGCCTACAAACAGGCTTAGGATGCACTGAACAAATCCCATGGTCACCAAAGATTAGACCAACAGAGTCACTTAATTTGAGAATTTATTGATTTACTCATTTCCTGTAAAAAATGTCATGCTGCATGTGCAAGGCCTCAAAGTGAAAGATGATTGTGTTGAAAATCAGAACTTCCTGACTGGGCAACAACACGCTGGAACAGTTACATCAATAAAATGTTGGAGGAAGAAAAGGCATAACCAGGTTTCACGGGGTTTGCAGATTTTGTGGCAGAAGATGAGGGCATAGCATGCGATCCGGTTTCTTCCATGTTTGCCTTAAAGAACACATTAGAAAAGTCTGAAAAGGAACAATGATGTATAAAAGCCAGTGTTCTGCTAACATCAGCAAATGTATCTGAAAATACAAAGGCCACAACTACAATGCAGAGCAACAAGAATTTCAAACCCCCACACACACATGCACATTGAATGCATCTGATGTAAGCAACATCRTTTTATCTATAAATGTAATAAGTTTCTAGCAAAGCCTCTAGAAGAAGAAACAGTTCATTTAGGACAACWAAATATGCTTTGCTTGCCTTAGAGTTGGTCACATTTCCAAAAGTTAGAGTTGCTAATTAACCAGCATGGCTTTGGCAGGGTTTCCCCCAGTGTATTATTACTCTGGTGGGCTGCCAGGCTTTAYTTGTCCCCTCCAGGTTAAGTGTTGTTTACTTACTTAGAACCAGCTTCGGTTTAAGGAGCCTGACCAACATTCTGAATGCTGTGCCTGCCCACTGTTTCACAGGGGACCTTTGTCCCTGCTACACTGCTGAGCAGCACAACACAAGTTAGTTGTTGGAGGTGTTGAGCAGAGACAGACTGGCATTTCAGAGAACTGGGACATTTCCCAGTGGTCTGGCCTGGTCAGCAATCAACTAGGGGCAGAACCGAAGGCTCGGTTCAGGTTGCTTGCCTTTTTWAAAAAAATAAACAGTTTATAACATTTGTGCAGCTTACTTGTGTAGCTCCTCTTAGCTTAGCTCCCACAGCAAGATGCTCCCAACCTTCCTTTTTTCTGAGGTTACTGTAACGCTCTGCTTCTTTCAACACCCCTGTCATTAAAAATGATAAAGTACTGTTCTGCTTATATCACTCCCCACTCCCCTGTTTGGACAGTGGGAGAAAACCAGAGAAGTCAGAAAACCTGACATATGCAAGGAGAGAAATTCCACCCTTAATAAATACAGGTCCCAGCTGAGAGTCAAATCAGATCTTCTTGCTGTATTGCAACAACGCTAACCAAATAAATCCTCTCTAATCAGTTTTACTTCAGGAAAAACATCATATTAATCCAAGCTAATCTTGTCATGATACCCTAAACTAAAGATCTAAGTGTCATCCGGATTGAAACCCAGAGAAGTTAATGTGTTAAATCTCACCAACAATAAACTGGGCTGTGTGTTAAAATCACAAACAGAAAATACAGGAACACAAAAGCGCAGCTTTGCCTTTACTCTTGTGCTTCATAATCAATATATTTCTAAGCAGACTCACTATAAACAAAAGGATCCTGCTCTGTTTGAAGGTAAGTGCTGGCTCAGACACCATTTAGTGAAAATAAACACCATTTTGAAGTTGCAGGTGTGAGTGTCGGTGTCGCCCACCAGGTGGCAGTAATGCTGTTTGATAATCACTTTGGCAGTGCTGGAGTTGAATATTTACAGTAATCCAACCCACACATGTATTTACATGTTAATGAAGGTAATCACAATAAAAAAGAAAGTGCAGCTGTAATTTTCTTGGCTCCTGAGCGAGCACGTGAGCGTGCTGAGTGTAAGACGTGTTCCAGCTGTCGCTGACGCGTGTGACGTGCTTATCTCTGCGTCGTTAGRCTCTGGGTGACCCACCGCTAAGATCTTGTCTCCGATCTGCAGACGCCCGTCTTTATGAGCCGCCCCGCCTTCGATGATCTTGGTGACATAGATGCTGTTATCTCCTGGTATGTGCTGGTTTCCCACCCCTCCAGCAATGCTGAACCCTAATCCTGGGAGAAAAAAGAGATAAAGAAGAAGGAAAGAGTGAGAAAAAGTATGGTGAACACGGAGCAGATTTGCTAAATCCAGAGGGTGCAGCTTAGTCGGGTACAAGGCGTCAGTAAGCCCACACAAAAGCGCTGCCGTACTTTCCCGTACCTTTAGGCCCTTTGATGAGTTTGATTTCAGTGACTTTTTCTGCTGCTGGTTTTCGGCGGAGAACGTAGAGGCGGACAATAGCACCTGCCTCCTTCAGAGCCTCCACGGCCTGGCTGTGCGTCACCTCCCTCACGTCCACATCATTCACAAATAGGATGCAGTCGTTCACACTGAGGAGTGGGGAGAGCGATGCAATGAGAGGAGGAGAGAGACAGTGGGCGGGAAAGTGAAAATACAGCGTGAGTCGTTGTTTTCGGTGGGGAGATGAGGTGTAATCCTTCGCCAGTATTTAACTTTGCTTCCTCGAGTTGATTTCATTCTATAAATACTGGAGCAATAGAGCTTCTTTGTGGGAGCAGTTTGTAAAAATGGCGAGCAGTGATGATTATTGCTGACATGCGCCATACGATTATGTTTTATCCTGAGCAGACGGGTTTGTAGCTCTTTGCTCAGGAGGATTTTAATAAATGACACTTCTGCCTGCTTATTATCAAAGTCAAACATCTCAGTGGGTTTTTATTCAGATTTTCAGGGATTTTTTTATTAGAAAGGATAAAATATATTAAGACATTTCACATGAGTGAAAAACACCAAGCATCAATAGCAGTTTTTTTCAAAGTATTAATTTTTAAACATAAGGAATTATAAAGTTCAGGATATTTCTCTCAGGCTGTTTAAGACGGGCTGCAGATTTTGGCCAATTCAAGCATTTTCTGCTGTAATCAGTCTTTCCAGATGGATGTTTTTAGGTCAGTTGTGTAGAGATGAGAATGCCTCAGTGAGTTTCTTGTTTACTCCAGCATAATCAGTGAAACTGGGTATAAATAACCTCTTTTTATTCCAAAATGCAAAGTCTGTTCTGACTGGCGTCACAAGAAAAATACATTTATGACATACAGTCGTTTTCGCTTTAGAATCATTTGGTTTGACTTTAAAGGTCCATCGGAAAACTATTATTAAAATCTTTACAACATCATCAATTTCTTGCTATTTAGTTATTTACACTGATTTATTTGGTTATTTGGCAGGATTATCACAATATTTCAACAAAAATAACTTATTTAATGTGAAACTGAGGACAATGCACAGGATGCTAAATACAATAAATAGTGTTTGCATGAAACCCCATTATTTTTTTCATGAGTTTTAAGATGACAACAACAATTTTTTTAGGCTCCACATCATTAAACTACCAAAAAAACTATTAATAAATATTTTATTAACCTTTACTGTCCATAAATGGGGCAATTAATTCTCTGTATTTTCCTCATCACACATGTGATCGCACATGTGCAGCAGTGGGCTGCCATTTAAGTCGAGGGAGCAGCTGGGGGCTTGTAGGCCTAGAGTGGGGCATTTTTCTTGACATTCCAGGGAGTTGAACCAGCAACTTTACAATCACAGCCTCACCTTCTCTAACCTATGTGCCATCACTCCCCAAATATTTAACCTTTGTCAGTTTTATATAATTTTTTATATAAATGAGGTTGTTCCAAGAGCTATCTACAGCAGGTAAGATATTTATTGTTGATTAAATTTTCACAGAACCCCACCTAAAAACACMTGAACCTTCCTTTAACTCTCTTTTACAAGTTTGATGGTGATTTCTAAATAAMTGGGAGCAACATTCTTGGCATGACAGGTTTGTTTTTGACGTTCTGAAAAAGTGATTAGTTTTGTTTTACCTCAGCCGTCCGTCCTGAGCTGCGGCTCCTCCCGGTATGATTTTGGTGATGAAGATACTGGGGTCGTCACCCACGTGAGGGTTGTCTGTTCCCCCTGCTATGCTGAAGCCCAGGCCTGAGTTGCCCTGCAGCAGCAAATCGAAACGCAGTTATTATTTATTCGATCTGGGACGTCTGATGGCACCGCTTAAAACAYGATTCATAATTTATAGTGCATAAAACACAGTTGTTGGAATCGGAAAGATCCCGTTTTCAGCCTTACTCTCTCCAATGTGATTTCCTCGTACTCGATTTCTCCTTCTGTCCCGTTGACCTGCCAGAGGAACAAGTGAACTGAGCCATTACAATGAAATAAAACTTCATTTAAAACCTTTTTTTTTCCAGCCTGTCTTCTGGGCTTAATCATCAAATGATTGATTACAGCAGCACTGTGATTTTAGCCTAATTTGACTGGTGAATGAACAGCTTAACTAAAAATATCAGCTCCTGCTTCTGCAGTTAGGAAAATCCCAGAGGAAGAAGGAACTTAAGCAACTCCAAACTTTACCGTTTCAGTTTCTGACCCAGAAAACAACCCATTTTTTTGTTCCTGTAGCTGTTTAAAACTGTTTTTTTAAGTGTAAATCCTCATTCTCTCATCCCAAAAATCATCATAATTTACCGGCTTAAAATTTAGAAACTGCATCATTATGAAACTGAATCATCCTGTCGAGCTCTAACGCTCAATTAAAAGAGCAATGAATGTTATCCTTCAGATTAAAGACAAAAGAGCAATAATCTAACTGGATGATTACGGCCTGATCATTAAGGCAGCTCAGCTCATCTATTGTAATAATAAATGAAAAAGGAGAGGTAAAGCTTATTCTTACGTATGGCGAGCCATCGAGCGTGTCAGTGTTCACCACCACTGGAGGAGTATTTCCCTGCAGGCAGAGGGAAGAAGAGGCATTAATGGCAGAAACAGTGACGAGTCAYATTCAGGACCTGATGGCCATTTCTGAGTTCTCACTCTCCCCTGTCGTCGTCGCCCTGGTAAAAAAGAAGAAGAAGAAAAAGCAGCACTCTATGGCCATTTGTTCATACCAGTCTAGAAAAAATTATTTATGCTAACTCAAATGTATTTTTTTCCTTTTACCCATGCACTCGGTTTCTTATTGGCTGCTTCGTTTTGCTGTGGCTACCAGCTTAATTAGGTTAGAGCTTGTATTTTGCAGGTGCTGTAAATGGCCGCCTAAGGAACACTGTGGATGTAGATGACTTCCCCCCACACCCACTCCCACCCAGCAGTGATTTCAAAACCTCTGAGTAAATTAGATTCCGCCACCCTGACAGCAAATGGTGGCAAGGGTCCAACACACACACACACACACACACACATATATATATATATACCTGGTAACGAGACAGTGACAAAGCTGCATTGTTATCTCAGTGATTCTCAGTGAGTGCAATGACTGCTCACACCGTGCTCGTTTATCCTCACACTCTGTCCTGAACTAATGCTACACCCGACATCATTTATGCAAAGTGTAAGGACACACTGGGTATCAAGAAGATTTCAACAAGCTGRTAATCAGGAGCAAAATAATTGGTAAAAAGCAGTGAAGCTCTTTAAAAATGGTTTCACGTTTAGTGGCCCAGCCTCTCTCATTTGCTCATCCGAAAGGTACAGTAAAGATGCAGTTTATTATGCCAACATGTCTCTTTACTTGCTTCACCTGCATGTCCTACTTACTTTTTTAGCACTCTGGTTGAAAATGTGAATAAAAAACTTGTGTTTCAGAGTTCTAAGAGTCAATACTCTTTTTAAAGATGCTCATTGATAGCAGGAAAAAGTAAAATAAAACTAGCTCAGAAATTTTAAAGTGGAGTTTTGTGGAAAGATTATGAATAATTATTATCTTACCTGTTGCAGATAACTCTTAAATGGTCTGCATTTGGAGAAATGGAGCTTAACTGACAAAATAAACTGCAAAAAGTGTCCATCTAACCAAGTCTTACAAACKTATATCCCCCAAAAGTAGTTTTGATCTTATTTTGAGACTGATATCCAAAGCAAAAGCAGATTATGTTCGATTATTAATCTTGTTATCCTGGATTATTTTCTTTTTTCAAGTAGTCTTTAGATAGCTAATTTTTGCAGCTAAACTGTGCAAGGCTAATGCTATTGTACATTGTCGTAAGTTTCATATTACACAGTAATTTTGACAAAAATATGTCATCATTCCAACTGATGTGGAAGGAGCATAAGAGCTACAACTAGCTGTTTGCTGGTTTTCAACTATAGAATAGAAGTCCAGTAGCTTTTTAAACATATATAAAGGTTTTTGATTTRATACTAGCTGCTGTGCTATTTGCACTTACAATAACCACATAATTTCAAGTATATAACCATGCAATGCAAAACTGACAGTGATGTGGTAAATGTTATTGGCATTTGCATGAACTTCAATGAAATGTTTGTAAAATGAAGCTGCTTTCAAACAGCAGGGATCCATTTTTGTCTTGGCCCTGTTTGAACCAACCTTTAGTTCATGGATATGGAGTTAAAAATCTGTTCCCCAGAGTTGTCAACTCCTCAGTRAAGAATGTAGCAACTGACTGTCCTAGAACTGCATTTGGTCATGACAGAGACCAAACATGGGTAAAAACACGCTAATTTTTTTTTAGAACAACAAATTAACTTTCTTCTGCTGAATCTTGGTATTTTGTATGTTTCAGTTGCAACTTTACTCTTATTTTGGAGATTGAGACTGCCAAAAATGACACTTGTGGTTGTTTTAATGCAGTTATTTATTTTAAAGAAAGAATATTTTACATTTATATCAGCCAGCACAATTAAGTCTGAACAAGGTGGAGGGAATATCTTCTGGGATGGATACTAAGTGAGGACTTGGCTATCTGTGAGTGCTTTGGAATGGGGCAGGGGTTGATGGTGGCACCTGCTGTGATAAAGCCAGAAAAAAGTTGCTAGATTTACCTCTAGCTGCTTTTAGAACAAGAGTTGCTAAAGAAGCTTAAATACTCACTAAACACAGCAAGAGTGRTTAACCTCAGGCCATTTAAAGGGCTATCGACAGCAGGTAAGATATGAACTGTTAAAAACTTTCCACACAACCCATTACAGAAGATCTGAGCTATTGGTTTAACTTCTACACACAAGCATCTTCTTTTAATCACAGTTTGGTAAATTTTATTGCCGTTTTCTTACCCTTGTCAGGGTAACTCATGCTGTAAGTCTGAAATACATCGGTGGGTACTTAGCTGATTGGAAAACTCCACCTGCTCCGAACAACAATGATTAACATGAAAGACACTGCAGCTAAAGTGCTTACAGCAGCAAAGAGCAGTGTCTGAAATCAGGCTGGTGCCCTTCACAGACCTGACAGCCCTGACACACACAGACAGCTAACACGGCCACGCTGAACTCATTTTCTCAGCTTTAAAGATAAACCGTCTCACATTCCTGCCCCCCATATTAATCTTTAATGCCATGATAAATTGTTACTCGCTCTAATGTATATCTTAATCAAAATGTTCTCACGGTAGATTTTGCAGTGCTGCTCAGTCGGCTATGGGAAATGGCAAATGCAAACATATAATAAAAGCAGCTGACAGTGGTCAAAAAGCAGGGCATCAAAATAAATTATTTACAGGATCTGACATGTTTCAAAGAAAAGACCCATTTACCTTTCTATTAAAACAGCATAGCTTTTGAAGTACAAACAAGTATTATTTATTTCTTTAAATACTCATAGTCTCTAATGACTCAAAACAATCCAAAGACGTCCATCATGTTTGACAGTTTATCACTCTGATTGGCTGCAGCATGAGTAGAACACAGCTGAAGTCAAAGATTTATACTCGTTCATCAGAGTAAGAATCTTTATTAATTTGAGGCAAATCAGTGTTTAGAAGTTTGACTTTATTGTAGATTTTCTTTAATCCTAAAAGTGACCCCTTCGTTTGACTGTGGACAAACTAAATTCTTTCTGGGGAAAGGTTTTACAMTCAGACAAGACAAAGACTGRGTTATTTGGCCACAATGACAAAAAGAACTGTATGTTTGGAGGATTCAATGTGAGGCTTGCAACTGTGAAGCATGGTGGTGGCAGCATCATGCTGCGCATGGCACAATGCTAATGAAATAAAGACGACAGGACTATGTTCAACGTCTTCAAATCAACGGATAGATGAGAAAATAAATGAACAAAGTGAGATAACCTGMAGCTTCTGGAACAGTCTTCCTAACRCCCAACCTTWTGGAAAATTGGTGGACTGCGCCTAAATTGCAACTATTTTAAATAAAGTACAAATTTGACCAAGAAGAGTGATCAGCCAGAATTATGGCACATAGTTAGTAGGGGTAACAATATGTCAATACACATTAATACTATATTGATTAAATGCTTATCTTACACGATCAGTTGTGTTAGATGGGCATGTGATGTTGCATCGTATTGATTACAGACTTGTGAACTGAACTAAAATAAAATGGTATCATGACAGACTTTGTGATATCAAGAAACATCTCATCGTCATCAAAACAAATAATTATTATTGTATAGTGGTAAAGCTGGTGAATAGTTAGGTTGTAAAACATGCAGTTGAGGTGCAACATGCTAAAAAACAACCAGATACTAATGGAGGTGTATATATTAGAGTCTGTATGCCTAGTTTCGACTCTGGATTAGAGAAAAAACACAATAAAACATAACATGTGCACCCAATACTTAATAAACTCAATAAAAATATTGAGTTTGTTTCTTAAAAAATAATCCCACCCTAGGTTAAAAAAATCGTAAAAGATTAACCTACTTAAATAATACATTATTTCCCATGATGACTGTAAGTAAGCTTCTGACTGTAACTGTAAACTCAGTATGGCCACTAAAATGACAAAAACGAGCAGCCTCAGAGAACACGAGGCGAAGTTTGCTTTTAAGAAAACAGCTTTAGACTTTTAAGACACAGTTCTTTCCATTAGGCTTGTCTGGTTTGAAGGTTGTTTGTGTCTCTCTGAATCTGGGTGAGACATGCACGTTTTTCTTTGTTCATAGCTCATCCAGACGTCCCTCTGTCTCCTTCAAGTTCACATTTGAAAGCCGATCTGCGATGGCGGTAGGAGGAGCGAGGATGTAAGAAAAGCATTYGCCTTCTTATTGTGGAACCCTCACAAGCTCAGCAAAACCTCTGAGGGTGTCATCGGGTATCAAGCATCAAGTCATTCACAGACCATGCTAAAAGTCTTGCGGCTTGCAAGAAGGGGGGTCTCTAGGGATCAGCTCTGCTTTCATTACAGTCAACATTTCGACTTTCGAATCGTTCCTGAACATTCTTATTTTGCTGAACTGCCACAGCTGATCACTGTTGGGATCAAAGTGGATTTTTTTCATGGTATCTGTCTAACAGGGATGGACAACTAGCAAAGCAGCTCCTATATCCATTTTTGAAAATGACAAAAACGTACGTACAGTATCTCGGTGGTTGTAATGACAAAGTCCAAAGCAGAAGCCACCTCTTCTCTACCAGTAAGGAAGAGACRGTTAGTCATGGCTAAGAACGGAGGAAAGAAAACTGGACTGAAAAAAATCTAATGTTTTAGGTGAAATGGGAGGTAGACCATTTGTTCACAGTATTTCAAGGCAAACCTGTGTTTAGTCTGCTTAGAGATGCTGTCTGCTGTGGAGGATTTTAATATGAGTTGCCACTACAACATGCTGCACAAAGCTAAATACAGTGGTTTGCAAAAGTATTCATACCCCTTGAACTTTTCCATATTTTGTCACATTACAACCACAAACATAAATATATTTCACTGGAATTTAATGTGAAAGACCAACACAAAGTGGTATACAATTGTGAAGTGTGTAGAAGATACTCCAACATAACTTCTCATATTTATATGAGAGGCCCTTTAGGC